TTTTCATTTTGGACCGGTTTGTCCTTGCTGCTAAGCGCTCTTCTGAATTGCCTCTCCCCAGGACACTTAATGTTGGCTCTGATTATACTAACAAATGTTAGCCTTGGCATTTCAAAATAAGATAAATCTGGCACACAACCAAATTCATCTGTGAACTCCACAAAGCAGATATAAGTGATATTTTGATTATATGCAGGTTATATGTGGGTTACAGATCCCTTCCATATTGAGCATGGGTTATTGACTAAGTGAATTATATCGATGTTCAGCTTAATTGATGGCATATTTTATTTATGGTTTGAGTGGAAATTTCCCCTCCAGCTAATATCAGACTTAGTATTTTTGGATTTGGGAAGTCTCTCTTTAACACTGGTAGAGTAGTAAGTATCTGAATACATTGTTTTCTTTTGAAACCCTGTTAGGTATGTATGCAAAAGAAAAAATAGATCCCCCCCCCCAAAAAAAATTAAATTCCTAATTTTTTCATAGAAAAGATGAGGGCTGGGGGAAAGAAATGACAAAGTGTGCACAAGCATGCACACTTACATTTGGTGGCAGATGCTGTCACTATTATCTACATTAAAAAAAACAAAACTAAAAGCAAGAGGTGGCTTATGATGTCTGTGTTTTGGCAAAAGCTAAATTGAAATATACTGACTAATAGCATAATGGGAAGAAGGAGCCTTCGCTTTAATCAGACCACTGTGAAAAAGAAGAATTACCAGAAAAGCAAACAGGATTACATAAATCAGATACATACATCTCAACTTTAAATAAGACACTGTGTTCTTAAGATCTGTGTAATAATGTTAAAAGTCGTAGCGATCTCATGCAGCAATAAACCTCTTATTTGCAAAAGTAGTAATACCTCAAGTGTAAGTACACATGCTAGTTACCCTTTTAATCACTTTTGCACACTACTCTCTTGTGATTTTTACAAAAATTTACCTGTAATACTTGAGGAATTTTACATTTGGCATTATGGTCACTTGATTGTGATAAATAGTCTGTTTTATCAGATATAAACCGAGGTAGAAAAGCTGTTCATAAAACTTTTTTCTTTTTAGCTACTTAAGCTCCACTTTGGGGGAAACTAAATAAATCCCTACTCTTGGGAATTGGAAACATTTATATAGCAAACCTTGTTCTAAGTTATAATTCGAGGTTTTTAAAAATTATTACTTACATTTAGTTTATTAGTAGAGTTTAAAAAATATTCCTTACATTTAGTTTATCAGTAGGAATGTGTTTAATATAATTGATCTTCACTCTCAAGTAAAAAATGTATTTCATTTTCTTTGTAAAATGCTGGTGGAGAAGCTTTCCACCTTGAACAACCCTAACACACAGGCTTAGAAGCCCTTGGCAGTCATACTTGGCTGAGTTATAAGCAGTGTGTTCTAGGAGAGGACTGTTTGTCTGGCAGAAGAGGGTAAATGATTTTAATACATCTTTTCTTTTGTAAAGATATTTTACCTCAGTAGTTATAGTCTCAAGTAATTTTCTCCACTCCACATCCCCCCCTCCATAATTATCAAATTCTTAGCTTCAGCACTCTGAAGTAAAACTAAATTTACTTTAGGATCTTTATCATACCTAAAGATGTCTAAAGTTGTTTGACATTTTGATAGAAACTAGGGAGCTGAGATTTCAAAATATTTTTGTATGGTTTAAATTTTTAGATACAACATGATGAACATTGCAGCTTCATAATTTTGAAGGAATACTTTCTGCCAGGCTCATTTGTTGAATTCAGGTGAATAGATTATTTCTATAGGAAAGTTTTGAGCATGATTACTTAAAATGGACTTATTATAAAATTTATTTTCATAAAGTTGCACAGAGAAATCTTTAATTTTATTAGGATGAGACAGTTATAATCAAATAGCAAAATCCAGGAAAATTGTTCTGTAATGCCTCCAACTTCAGTCGAAATGGGAGCAGTAGTAATAACCTGCAACTCATTACTGTGCAAAAGAAAGAAGGTGCTGCTTAATGATGAACTCCTTGCATTAGAGGAGTTGTATTTTAAAAATTATTATATGTGCCTTAAGAGAATGGAAAAGTATCTTCTCAGTTTAAGCAGTGTGTTTTACAAGTCTTCCCTTTCTCTCTTTCTCTACTGCTGTTTTTAAAGTGAAGCTACATTCACCATTTTAATGCGTTTTGGGGGTGTGGGTGCATGCAAATAATACTCGGTAGAATCTATTTTAAGTCATTGTTATTATTTTTATAGACCAGGTGAAATAGAAAGTTTTAATTTGTGAAAACTTCAGCCTCTGTAAAAACGTAGTTAGCTTTGTGTTATTAAGTATAGTACTGTCTTGACTTTTTGTGAAAGAAGTTACATTCATCTCAGTCAGTTCCAAAGACAAACAGTAGAGAAATAGGTTATAGAGATTTTTAGTGTTCTAGAAATAGTATAACTAGAATGTACTACATACTTTTCTCAAAGGATTTCTTAATCTAAGTGGAACTTATAAATGGTTTTCATCCCACCGGAATAGCATGTATTGGATAAAACTTCTTAACACATTCTGAGATTTTTTAGATTTTATTTTTCAATTACAATTTGTATTCAACATGATTTTATATTAGCTTCAGGTGTGCAGCATAGCTGTTAGAGATTATATACTTTACAAAGTGTTCCCCCAGCACGTTCTGAGATTTTAAAAATTTTGTTAAGATAATAGGAACAATTTGCAAATGCCCAATCTTATATAAAATGTGGCAATATCCCTGATATTTTGGAGATAGTAATCTATATATGTTTTCAAAAGTTGAGAGTATACAAATTTCAAAGATGACATGATTTACTGAATTATTTAGTGAGGCAAGAAAAGATAAATGGGACTTTTTAATCACATATGTAGTGGTTTTCTGAAAGAACATTCTCCAGAATTGTTTTTAATCTTGTTATTATGTGGCCTTCTTTATTAGAAAAGATTGTGTGGTAAATGTCAACTTTTCATGTGTAGTAATAGTTTAGTCCAATGGGTTTTGTCACATTTCTTTTTCATAGTATAATTCTTTTATTTTTTATCAGAAAGTAGTTTATAGAAGAGAAAATTTCAACACTATTTAGGCACCTTAGGTAGCTTTTTCATATCAGAATTTTTCTCTTACCAGAAGAGAGAAATTACATGCTACTAAAAAGAAGATGATTATTTTTACTTGCTAGGAAAACTCAACTTTAAAAATAGTGCAAGTGTCTTGGCTGGTGTTGCTCAGTTGGTTGTCTGTAGTCTGGTGCACTGAGGGGTTGCCTGCCAGTTCGATTCCTGGTCAGGGCACATGCCTGGGTTTTGGGCTTGATCCCTGGTGAGGGGCGTGCAGGAGGCACATGTTTCGCTCTCACATCGATGTTTCCCTCTCTCTTTTTCTCCCTTCCTCTCTCTCTCAAAATCAATAAAAATATATTGAAAAAATATAGTACAAGTAACAAGGCAATTTGAGTATGAGATTTTTTCCTAAGGAGTTTATTTGTAAGGATGGTTTCATTCTTACTAAACTCTGTTTATTCAAGAGAGTTGCCCTGTTTTAAACTTTAATTGTATTGGATGATGGGTGGATGATGTGTTGGGATGAACCTTGCTATTTGTATATGTGTGTACAGTATGTGTCAGATAACTGTGCAAAATACGCCCTTTTTTTTTAAAGTTGTGATAACTAAAATCTCACCTCTTGGATATTTAGAGAAAATTAGAGAAGAGGAAATCAGAATAATCAGATTGGTTTGTATATATGCCTAAAACCAATTTTGGGGGGGGAAAAAGTCAAGCAAAAGAGCAGTGTGATGAGAATAAAATGCCAAAATTTTAAGATAGTAGGTGTTACTGCTTTGTAATACTGCTTTTGGAAGGAATTAGTGAATAATATTGTAGGGAAACAGT